ACTCGCTGGCTCGGAAATGCTGCGACTTGAAGCACAGACATCTTCAAGTTGACAAGGTTGAGAAACACTGGTTTAGAGGGAGAATTGAAATTTGTTACATCTTCAAACTGGTCCAGGAAACAGATGAGCAACTCTGGTAAACATTTACAGTAGATTCATCCCTGAAATGAACGTCGCAGAATCTGTATGATTTATTGAGTTTTGCATAAGTTTTGAATCTCTCATTCATACAGCCCTAACAGAAATATTACCCAATCCTACTTCTGTTATAGGAGAATCACCTATGTATATTAAGTCCAGGATCTAACAATAAACCCTGAAATACTACCAGGTGTTTTTTTTTTTTTCAGAAAAGGCCTCTGAGTTCCAATGAATGCAGGTTGCACTTCTGAGTAACTTTCAAAGATACAGAAATAACTTCAGCTTTCTTTTCCCATGGCTTGCTGCAACTTCAGTTTCCATCAAGCATGCTCTATAAAATGCCCCTATTTCAACTGAACGGTTTTGCTAACTACAGAGGGATTGCACCATGCCCAGAAGGATTTCTCCTCTCTCCCCACTTTCTCTTTCCAACATACATGCAGATGAATAGGAAATGGCTAGATACCATTTTGGATTTTTGACTGGTCCCTGTAAAACATTGCCTTGTATTCTCTATATAATCCCAGTACAATTTTCCAGTAATTCACCCAAAATAAATATTTCAGTGAGAAGTGGGCAAAGCATCTTTAAGAATTCATGGGATTGATAATCCAAGCGATAGCGATGCCAGCCTGTTCTTTGATGAGCGGACATCAGATACCCAGAAAAAGAAGCCTCACCTCGTTGGTTTGATCATTTGCATTCACAAACAGAGGCTTCCAGCCCGAAGGGAGAGAACCGCCATCAATTGCATATCCATGATTCTGAGCAGTAATGAAAGCTTGTCCATTTAACAGATTCAAAACTGGCTGGTTCTGTCCTCTGAAGAATCAGGGAGAGAAGGAATGGTTTGTTAAGGAAATCACATGTGGGGAGTGAAAGGCAAGGGAGGATGACAAGAGTTAATTGATGTTCTGCCAAATTTTGCTTTGCAATTTCCCTTTTTGTGAAAGAGCCCATTTTATTACCTTATTCTCAAGTTGCTTGAGAATTTCTTTCAAATTTCTTTTGAGTGCTGTTTTTGAGATTATTTCATTGGAGGAAGTGAAAGAAGATGAGATTACTTGCCATTATTCTGAAGCATTCCTGTTTCTCACACTTTTTGGGGGGGTTCTTTCGAATCATTGTTGACTCCTGGTGACTGCTAACTACCTGGATAGCTCCTGAAGTGGTTCCCCTTGCCTGCTTCCTAGAGTTGAGAGAGAGTGACTAGCCCAAAGTCACCCCCTGGCTTTGGGCCTAAGGTGTTCTGTCCCCACTTCATGGCTTGAGAACAAACGGCAAGCAGACAAACTTAAAAGGAAGTCTTTTTATCAGCTCTCAGTTCAAACTGGCTTCGAGCCCAAAAATAACACAAATACAGTCTCTGACTAGATAACGGAATGAAAAACAAAACAACTCTTACAAGCAAGGCACTTCTCCAAGTGTAGCCTTGAATCAGAGTTACAGGAAACATCAAAGCACTTATCCAAGTGTATCTAGCAATGTTGTACGCACGAAGGAACGTTGACTCCTGCAACTAGAGGTGGTAGCATCTGTCCTTTTATCTCCAAACCTGCCCCTAACAAGCCCCAGCTGCATAATGGATCTTGTATCCCGGAAAGACTCACAGCAGACACCTGCTGAGTCACAACACTAAGGTATGTAGAACTAACAACCGCCTAACCTCTAACTTGATGCCTTAACCACTAGGCCAGATTGGCTCTCCTACTCAGCAGCCTGTTAAAGAACTCCTTGGTGACATTTTCCCTTCCAAGAATGGGAAGCCAGGAAAGTTGCATAACCCTATAGAAATGGCTGCTGCTCACTGAGAAACAGGAGAGAATGTGATTCTTTTTTTTTAAAATATACTTTTTTATTTTCATTTTCATGACATAGAATCACATGTATACTATTACATAGCCAGTATCCTATTGTCTTAAGTAGCAATTACATCAGTTTCTCTTGTCATCAACACCCAAAAATATAAAAACCCATTATTAGCTCTTCTGC